CAGACATCAGGCAGACAAAAACACCTTGAAAAGAGCCTGGAGTTGCAGGACTCAGTGATACATACAGGGATTAGATGACAGTATGACAGTATGACAGTATGACAGTAGGTTATTTGGACTCCATTGATCTATAAACTGGACTGTCTCAGGAACTCTTCTGAGCATTGGAGACTTTGGGACATTTCACTTAATGGCAAGGACCCTCCATAAAGTGTTTATCAATGTCAACTGGTACTGGGAGGAAAAAGATTTAAAACTGTAGATAAAAGGAGGAGGAAAAAAAAGGTGATTGTGGTCCTTCTGGTGCAGGCACAGTACTAGTATTAATACATGATAGGGGGATGAGTTTGATTTTTGGTGAGGATTCAGGTCTTCAGTTGTTCTGAGAGTTAATACATTCTTCTAAATCATCAACATGTAAGTGTATTTTATCTTTAGCAGTGATCTCAGGAAATTAGAGGCCTCATGCAATAGCTGAGTTGACCTATCCTGGTTTTACCCAGAGGCAAGTTACCTTTCTACTTCTGTTCCCTGGCAGTTTTTTGGGATGAATTCTGAGTTGTGTGTCATAGCCCTAGGCCTCTGTCTTGGCCAAGGACGTGGCACTAGGCACTACCCCATATGGCAGCTGTGGCTGCACAACTCTTAACCTGCTCTTGACCACCAAACTGGCTGAGCTTGCACTGCAGCCAGACATAATAACTAAGCTTGCATTAGCCTTGAATTCCATCGGGTAAGTTCTAGGCCTCTTAAAAAAATTTTGGGAAGTGCTTACTGAAACCAGCATGCCATCCCTGCTCGTACTGCATGGAAGAGGAGAACGGGAGCCAAACCCTTAGTAGGAGCATATTCTAGTCACCTTAAATTACACCACTACTCTCAAATTGACCTAATCCAACCTTATATATGGCCCAAACTTCAGAAGGGCCAACGTCTCTTACTTGACTTCAAAAGTTTCCAAGCCCTTTTCCTGTTCTTTGTAGTCTCCATCTAGCTTGCCACTAGTTTCACTTGATGTGCGTATGTTCAAAACAGTACCTAAGTGTGTCAGTATTACCTGTGTTTCCTCTTTGCGGGGGCTGATCACACTCCTGTGCAGCAGGCAGCATTTGGCCTCCTCACTGGAACAGGCAAATCCACCAAATGTTATCAGAGTGCATGGGGCGTCTTGAAAAGTTTTCTGGCAGAGGCACATCTAGTTCTCTGACATCCATGTGCTGTCAGTGGACTTGGAGAGTACAGCATAGAATTAATCAGCTCTGTGTTTAACGAGGCACACAATTATGTTGTATGCAACTGTCGTCTGATGTGCTCAGAGAGGTCTGTTTGGATTCATTTGGAATACTGACAGTGTAAAATAGCCATAGAGGGTTTTATTGCTTCTTGATAGAGACAGCGTGAGTTGAACGATGCTGTGAATATCACTCATTGTGGTATAAAGCTGTAGTAAGATGAAACATGTCCTGTGTTGATTAGTATGCAGTACCTGGGGGTGTATGGGTGCACGTGTAAGGTGCTTGGAATGGCAGCTCTCCAGAGTTCTAGGTGTAACCATGCAGAGCGCTCGTGTAAGCAAGAGCACAGGGTACTGCTTGGCTTTGACTTGCTCCTAGCCACACTGCTGCCCCAAGCTCAGTGTGCTAATATAGGTCCTGCCCTTCTGCAGGGCAGAACTGAGGAGGAAGAAAGCCTTGTAATGCAGTGTCTCTGTGAACACAAGACAAACTTTTTCATCCTGCCTCTGTGGGGTGAAAGGGAGAGATAGTTCTTTGTAATAGGCACTGATAAATGCATCAGTGTTACCCAGGTATTGCCAACATCGTAACTTACTGTGAAGGCCACAGAGCTCAAACTCCTTTCGTCTTTGTTCACATCCTTTTCCAGAAGAAAAACACATACTTCCATTTTGTTATACCTACATACACGTTTATTGATACATTTACTCTCATTTGCCTGGAGATTCGCAATCTGCATGCTCACTGTGAACTGAATTTCTTAGATGACAACTCTCTCTTGTATTCCATGGGTTCCAGAGCAACCTTCTTCCTCCATTTTGGTGTAAAAAGCATTCCATTGCTTGTGCATATGGGACTGCTTCAATTGTGAAACAGGCTGCAAACAGGTCAGAGACGGGGAGCCTGTGGGGAGTGCTTGGCCATGGAGCCACAGCAAAGGCTCCTCTGTGCCACTGCGTAAGACCTGCAGAAACGGAACCCGCTTTCTGTGCTGCTGATGTCCCGGGCTCTCGAGCTCAGTTGCACTGCTGCCCTTGGTGGTTGTTCTCTTTCATGGCATCTGCTTTAGCCAAGTTACTTTCTGTAGAGTGATTGCCCAGAGGGCATTGTTGAAATCAGTGGTGTTGTGCCATGATGCTGAAGTATAACCAATACCTGTTCTATAATGAAGTAGCTCAGTGTGATTACCAAGTAGCTGTTTTATCCTATCTAAACAGGCAGTGTTTCAAGAGAGGAATGCTATTCCTGRCAATAGAAATAACCTTGGAATTAAGGGATTGCCTGAGGGGGAGTTATGTACTACCTGGCCATGTGAATTTTCCTGACCATTGAATTAATGTTCAGTTCCTGACCACTGAATTAATGTTCAATTGATCCTTTTCCTTCTTTTGGTGATTTTGAAATTAAAGACAAGTAGAATATGACTTCATAATGATCTACTTGTTAATTTAATCATCTCTGTGACTCATATACTGGAGAAAGAAAAAGCATCGCTTTTTTTTTTCTTTTTCTTTTTTAATATAACCTTATCCAAAATTCAAGCTGTGATGCAGCAGTTCGCAAGGGTGCCCCACTGAGTCTGATGATTTCAGACCTTCCCCGATAGCTAAACTTGATGACCACAAGGGTAAGGATGAACTCTGGCAATGACCTAGATCTGCAATTTGCAAGTGTTTTTCATACAGCTGCAATAATATTCCAGAAAATGTAATTGGCCTTTTACTTCATTCACTTTTGCAAATGAAAATAAAGCTACTGTGAGAACAGATTTTTTGCTAAGAAAATATTTTGTTTAATATTTTTATAGCTCTGTCAACAACAAAGGAGTCTCACAGTCTGTAAAGACTTTCTCTAAACCTTTTTAATGGAAAAAACTTCATAGAAAATATCCTTTTACTTTTTTAATAACATATAACTATATACATGATTAAAAACTGTAACAAAAAGCTGCAGGGAGTGGGAAAATGTTTTGCTGGATCCATGCAGATGGTACATTAAAAAAGGATTTCACAAGTCCATATACATCAAATGGAGCTGCAGTAAAAAGATTGGAAAAAAAATGGCAAGTCTGTATTATTTACCTGAAAGTACTGGGAATAACACAGAAACATACAAAACACACAAAAAGAATACAAAAGAGTACACAGTGTAAATGATGCTAGCACAGAAAGTTTCGCTTTGCTTTTAAGTAAATATGAGGAAATTTTCACCGATTATATTGCAGTTAAAAAGATAACTAATTTCTTATTTGCTGTATTTTTTGTTTTTCTTTTTAAACTCTGACAGTCACTACAGTAAGAGTATATTGCATTCGCATTTAAAAACTAGGAATATTTTGACTTACCTTCATGTCTGTGAATGTACTATCATTTTGGAATAACATCATGAATATATATTGCTTTAAAAACACACACAGATTGACATGAGTTATAAATACAAAATGTTGATCTGAGGGTCACAACACTGCAAAGTGCTGCATAATCTTGGCCCGATTCAGCAATGTGTTTAAGGACAAGCTTAGTTTAAGGTCTAAGAGGAATTATTCACGAGGCAAAGTTAAGAACGTGTAGAAATAATTTGCTGAATCAGATTTGGAGTTTTCAGTGGTTTGTGTTACAGAGTCTGCAGCTAGGAATATGTTACACATGAGTCTATAATTTTGTCATTGCATTCCAGATAATGTAGCTGCAGTAAATCATCTGATCTACTATACTTTTAAAATCAATTTTCTTAATTCAAGTTACAACGTAAAGCAAAGCCTTTTTAAAAAAAGCTGAGGATTTGATGAATTCTGCAGCTGGAGAGAAGAAAGAGAAGATGATTTTTTTAATTTGTTAGTTGCAAGTCAGAAGAGCATCTGTAGGTAGCAGGGAATGGTGTGACAGTGGTTTTAAACATCTGGTTCTTAAAAGCACTTGCTCATATTTTTGTGTTGGGCCACTGAAAGAGCAGACATCATTGAGAAGTTGAAGTAGCAACAGGTAAACTCGCTGCAGGCTCCCAAGCGTGCTTAGGATGGCAAACCATCATTTGAAAAGAAAATGAAGTCAAGCTAACTTGAGTGTCAGGTGGTTTGTTGCTGGATACTTCCTCATGTAATGAATCTGTAACCATTTCCCAGTGGTGAAAGTAAAAACATCTGGTGTAATTATGGACAGTTTACAGGCAGACAAGATTACAGAGCGAGTGTGAG